ATCTTTCGGGCATTGACCCCGTCATTATCCACCAAGGGGCCGTTCGATCTTCAGTCTCAACTGCGACTACAACGACTACGGCTACCAACGCGGACAGTTTTCTCAACAATATGTCCTCCATGTTGGACAATGTTGATCGCACGGGAAATATCCCGGGGGTTCCGCGTCGCTCAAGTGCACCTGCTCATCAGCAGGGAACGCGGACCGGAACAACACCCCCAGTTACCACCACAGCGAGTTCAACTCAACATTCCGCAGCCCAAGCTACCCAGAATCAGGGTCAGCAGAGGGCATATTATCAAAATCAGGGTTATCCCACCTATCCAGAAGTGCTCACTCATACACCGGGTCCGGTACGTTTGGTCCAATTTTCATTGGTCCAATATCTTTTGCTCCAAACCTATTTCATCCATTGGTACGTTTAGTCCAATTTTTTTTCGTCCATTGTGTTTTTGGTCTAATTTTCTTTTGGTTCACCAATTTTTTCGTCCAATTCCGGGCAAAAAGAAGAAAAAACATTTGATACGTGCACAAAATTTAATGAAAATGTCAACAATGATAGAATAAATTAACGATCAACATCAATTTTTTTTTTTCAAGATTTGGGGAACATTTATCGAGAAATTCATGCACAAAATTTAAACGAAATGTCAACGCAGTCGCTAGTGTTTTATAATGACCAATAAAAGAACACTCTTATTCTTGTTAACTAGATAATTGATGGTCTCTTGTGAATGCACTCACTTAATCAAAATAATAATTCAGTAACTTTACATGCGAGAATTACGTGAACACATAAATATAGAGAATACATGGAATGAACTTATTAAAATTTAATCAGTGGAGAGAGTCAGTCAGTCTAATTCATCTTGAAATGATTTGTTTTTGTTTTTATATTTTTATATTGTGGGCTAATCCGCGCAGCCAATCAAGGACATTGTTGTAATAGTTACGGTCTGCAAATACATTCATGATACGTTCCTCACGCAATTGATCGGCTCGTTTCTGTTTTGGACGTGGAGTTCCACGTGTGATGGACCCGATTTCTGCTTCCACTGATGATTGCTCTTTTTTCAATTCTCCAATGATCGTGTAGATCCCTGCATGGGAGCGTCCAATGAGAGTATTGATTTTTCGATGCCAAGCTTCTACTTTGTTTTGCGTCCTTGGTAAATTATCTTGCACTCGACTGTGAACGGACCACAGAGTTGGTGGAAAGGCTGGAGCTCCCCGTCTTTCTTTACCTCGGAGTTTTCTCAGCACTTTGCCTTTGACGTAACAATCTTCAAATTAGTTTTTCAATTCTTTTGCTTCATCTGGTAGGAGTAATTTCAAATCATCCCATGCAGGAGATATCTCTTCGGGTTGTAGGAAAGCCAATGCCACCAGTTGTCTCACTGTGATACTGAATTGTTCATCTGTCCCATACTTTCGGCTCAAGCTAAGAGTGTTTACCTTTCGATAAATCGATTGGCCTAGATGGAATAGACAACCATTATGAGTTGTGTTCGGGAAGTACTCTTGGGTTGTGGTTATTGTTGCAGATTCGAAGTCGGTTATTATTGTTGGTGGATTTAGGTTGTAACGTGACATTTTCGTATGGGGGTTAAAAATGCCTATTACCTTCGCCCTTCTTCCCCTTCATCTAGTCAAACTCAAAAATACAAAAATCTATAGGCGCCAGGTAATTTTTAGCCGGAATTACCAAACCGGATGATTCTACAAAACCAATTCTAATTGATTCCAAAACCTCAAAAATTTACACAAAAAGGGAGAAAACTAGATTTCTGGGGAAAGGTAACGGTCCTGGGTTCGCTCAGTGTGCTAGGTTGTGGAGAGAGGGGTGGATTTCAGGCGGAGACGGGTATTGGGTGGTTAAAACTACTAAAAAAAAAAGAAGAAATCGGTATTGTCCTTACTTGTTTCACTATTGAAATTAGTCAATCACCAATTTTTCAAAAAAAAGATATTTCAATTCGCTCAAAAAAAAAATATATATATATAAAAAAAGGAAAAAATCTATCATTAATAGCTAACAATACTGATAATAATAATAATCATAATATTAATTCCGCACTCTGACAGGAATGAGTCTAATCTAACAAAAAGATTCAAAGAAATTAATATCACCGATAAATACCTCAAATATCCCGAAATAAACATTTGGGGAGAGTAGAAATACACGCTAATCCCTAAATACTCGAGAATTCCGAGAATTGGGGGGAAAGGTATGCGAGCGACAATGGGAGCGAGAGAGAGGAGAACGTATTCAATCATCGATTTTTCGTACCAGCCAAAACGGCTGAAATTCCGTAAAACTCAACTTGCCATAACTCGGAAATGGCAGAGTCAAAAATTACGGACCCTGAGACAAAATGTCCGGGAGAGTCTACCGAAGACAACAATACCAAAAAAATAATTTTTCCTTAACAATTAGCCGCTCCAGGTTCATTAATCCTCGAGCGGAATTCTAAACGCTAAAAAGCTCGCGTGAAGCGAGAATAGCCACGTATAAACGTGGATGAGTATCTGAGGGGGAGTCGAGAGTCGGGGGGAATTCCCCCTCGAGAAACACGGCGTACACGCCAGCGAGAATGGGCTGGAAATCCCTAAAAACCAAAAATGGAATATCCGGAAATCGGCAGAGCGAATTTTCGGAAACCCTGAGATAAATTACTCAGGGAAGCCCCCCGAACACATTGACCCACAAACTTTAATTTTAATTAACTATCTACGCGAACCAACTCAATTCAAATACGAGTGGAATTTCTTACGCGCAAAAGCCCACGTATAACGGGGATGGACGCACTCTGGCAATTAAACGGGAGTAATTATCCCCTTGAATAACCCATCAAAAATAACGAAAACCACCCAATCATGAGTGAAAAAGGGGGGAAAATCGGCACCTCACAATTTGGATTAAGGGTCACAATCACCGTTTTACCGGAATAAAATGCGACGTACGGGGCTGAAGACCCCGTAGTCGAATAACGAAAAGCCGAAATGAATTCGGAAAAATACATAAACCGAACTAAAAACTCACTTTGGGTTTCTTACCCCTCTTTGGGGTGTTCTTCGCCATCGTATAGATCCACTTATCCAAATATGTGCACACTAATTCCTAATATAGGCACTGTACTGGCACTAGTTCTGGTGGGGTCAAGGGCCAACGCCGAACTGCCGAACTCATGAGCGTCTCGGGACACCTCAGAGCACGGAATTCACCGCTCAATCACCCGAATTTTGATTGGTGCGGACACGCCCCTCGAAGGTGCGAATCTAACGACAAGTAATCGCGACTGTCAGGACCTGGCGCGATTATTCAAATCCCACTTACTCTTCTCTAATGACTTAACACAAAACTAGTTCCTTTTTATTAATTGTTACGCGAGACTAGGCCGAACTGATTATCGTTCGGATAATTACGAAGGGTCTTTGGCGCTTCCCACGGATCGGATCTCCGGGATTTTCGGGGTTAAAAGACAAGTTACCGGCACTTGTTATAACTTCACTACTAATTCCTGCTCAACTCGTTTCTCTCATCAAAATCCCAAAGGCAACCTGGCGATTCGTTGGAGATGATGGTTGCACTCGCTCCGAACGACCTTCCACCCAAAATAAAAACGTAACCAATTAACCCCTGAAAATCCAACGAAATTGGAGCGCCGGCATTTCAGCCGGACCTATTCGATTACCCGCAAGATTAACAATAGGGTGAACCCCATAAAAAGAACCGGATGACTCTATAATTTTGGCCCTTCTTCACGATAATTTTTCTGGGCCCTCGAAGACGCGCAATTACTAATCTTTACTAATAAACGGAACCGATAACTCTAACCGGAAATAAGCCACTCGGAAGTGGATAAGGAGCTCTCACTCTCTCGCTCTTGGATTCTTACTCACGGATTTTAATTCAACGTTGTAGGAGTCGCGCTGTTTACAGATCATTCTTAGTGTTCCTAACGAACATCCCCACATGTTCGTTACAAGGTCTATGTCGTATTGTTCAGCGTATTTGATTAATGATTCGAATAACTGTTGATAACAGCGTTTCGATTTGCTGGACATCAGTACATATACTAACGGGAGAATGCGACTACGGTCTGGTGGTCCTAGAGCTGTATGAATGGAATACAATTGTAGAAATATATTGGGGACGACGTCGAAAGTCCCGTCCATAATCCAAAATGGGGCTTCACTTAGTTTCCTTATATTGGGCACTGTTGAGAATATCAACACTCTGTCTTGGTTCACTTGAACATTTTTTATTAAAAATACTTCATTGTTCATTGTTTTTTTAAATTCTTCAGGGAGATTCAAATCATCGAGAGTCTGGGGTTGAGGATTATGGTTCTTTTTCATTCACTTTGCTGATTGTTTCAGTGTGCTAGTCGTTGGTAGATACGGCCGTGCACTTTGATCCATGTTGCTTAGTGCTTCATGAACAATTTGTCCTGCAGTGTGATTTGTTTCAACAGCTTTTCTTTTAATTGCATGTTTCATCTGTACCACATGTACGCGCGAGGCTTCTGCTGCATGTCCGTGTTCTGCGAATTTTTGTAGAACACTAGGAAGTACGCGCGCTTTGCGCGCGCTTGTTAGGCTGCATGGAATAACACATTTTTCTAATAATATTCATGGAATTACTATTTCATCTATCAATTGTCAGAGAAGATCATTTCCAATATTTCATCACTATAGTACTTGTTCATTATCATTGATTCATGTTTGGATTAAAACTTGTACTTTTAAGCATTCTTAGAATCTGTTTGTAAAACATCAAACCGTTCTTTTTTTTAAGTGTTTTACATTTTTTCAATACTTTTCAATACGTGAAATTTGATTCAACATCCAGGAATATTTGGTAAGTATAACACATCGGTAAGTGGTGACTCGAAATTCCTAATTCTATCTTTTCCTTTCATTTATGACTTCACGTTTATTTTTATCTATGGAATGTGGTGGAACGGATTCAGGTGTCTAAAACTTCACATTTTAGACAACTGAATCCGTTCCAACTCTCTTCATTTGTTCTCAACTGTCATTCATCTCTGCACACCAGCGATTATTATACCCTGTGAGCTATTCGTTCATGCATTAAGATATTCTATTGATCCATTGTGATTCTTTATCATTATGGCTGATAACGATTCTCCAACCCCTCATTGCTCCCACACTGAGCCACGGCTTGGATCTCAAGAACCTGAACTTCTTCTCTCAGATCCTGCAAACACACGCCCAGCTTCCTCACCATCATCCACAGATTCTCCGCATTCATCTGCGGATCCCAGACTTCCTTCTACAGAGAGTAACTTCTTTACTGATGTCGATCTTTTGAGTCCCTCTGATTATATCCAGAACATTTCCCCTTCTACATCTAAATTAGTGTGAGTGTGACTATTATTTCGTTTAATTGAATTTTTCTGTTTTTCATTCACAATTTTTTTTCATCATCAGAGAAATGGTTGGCATTATTCATCTAATCAGGGAAGCTGAGACTGTGACTTGCAAGAACGGTACTCAAAATGAAGTTTGCACCTTCTGCATACATAACAATGATGGTGAGATTGTTCAATGCGTTATGTGGGGCGATACCATTGATAGATTCCTCGATCAGCTGTTAGTGCACCATGTAAGTCAATTTGCAGCGTTCCAACTTCTTTTTCATTCATCTATCATTTTCATTTTTTTTAAACTCATTCATATTTTTTAATATTTTCATGAAATAAAAAAACAATTTTGTATTCGTCATCCAAAAATTCGTTCAGAATCCAATATTCGATCAATAATTTCTTCCCAAATTGTATAATGTCTTTCATTATCAGTTTGATTCTTTTATTGCTTCTTATTTTTGTTTAGGTCATTCACATCGATGGAGCCTACCCAAAATTTGTGAAGGATCAGTTCAATTCTGGAACAGTGCCCTATGAATTAATTGTCCAATCAAATACAGAAATTACTGATTTGGGAAAGATTCAGGCCACACAGCGTTCTCAATCGACTTCTCCGGAAATCATCCCTCTGATTAATCTACCAACATGCAAGAAAATCGTTGGTAGGTTCTCTTTCGTCTTAATTTCAGTATTTATTTCAATTAAATTTGGTTTTTTTTTTTTTAATATTTTTCATCATAAAAAATTTCAATATATCATAAAAAAACCGAATACAAACGAATATTTCATGACGATTACATAAAAATAAGTCCATCAATTATATTAACTTCTGACTAAAATATATTTGTATTTTTGAAAAATCTCAAATTCATTGTGAGTTGATACAGAATGTTTATAGTTTTTTTATTTCAATTTTTGAATTTTTTTTTTTCATCGTCTCAAGGAAGAAAATTATCTTAAGCTTTTGAGATAAATTTAACTTTCTTTTCTCATAATTTTTTCGGTTCTTGTATTACATTTTGGAAATGAATTCGAAAATTCAACTTCATTCTCTATTCAATATGTTATAGAATCACTTATAGGATTTAATTTTTTTTTTTTTAATAAAAACAAATAAATTTCACTTCTAGCCTGACTATTTGTTTTTTAGATAAAAAATTTTTGATTTCAATGTTTTTCCTCCTTTCTTTGTTTGGAAAAAATGGATTCGGATTGAGCCGAAAAAGTAAACATTAAGAAATATTGATTTCTTTATGTTTACAGTTGTGAATCTATTCTTTTTCTTTACAAAATTTCTTTAACACTTCTTTTTAACTTGTTTTGTGTCATTTTTTCTCCAGCTATCAGAGGATTTGTGGAAACTCCTTGGGCTGTCATAGAAAAACAAATGGAGAGTACAGGGAATACTTGTTATGGATCGATTGCTGCTCAAAAATATTTTGTCGATGTGAAAATCAATGACTTTCCTGCCAAATTCGTCTGTCCGTATTCGAAAGGGCAGCATGTCCAATGCGTTGGAAAACTGATTAGAAATGGTGAAATATCGAATCAATTAGGCCGAATAATACTTTATTTGTTTCTCTTGATTTTTTTTGTATTTTCTCATTTCAGGAAACAGTTTTTTCTTCAATGTCCAAAACTCAGATTGCATTTCTCTTGTTGATCAGACAATGGCAACTCTCAAAGATCTCTTGTTATGCCAACCATTGGCTAATCTCAATTCATCCACTCTTCACTCGGCTGGAGGTTCGTCTCAACCAAAGAAATTGAAGAGGAATGAATTATTTGCCAAACGATTCCCTAAAAAAGTATCTTTTTTCGTCTTTCTTCTCGTTGTATTTATTAATTTTAGAATTATCTCTAATCGTATTTTTTTTTCATTTTTCAGGGTTAAAATCTGACAATGAGGATTACTTTTCTCTATTTAAACATATTAAGACAATTAATTTCCTTTACTTAAATATCATAATTACTCCTTCAACACTATAAAAATACAACCGGATGGACTGGTAATGTTTAAAACAATAGATAAACAATAATCAACAAGTAGATGGAGTGACAACGATACGGGACTGATTGCTTCGAAATATTCAACCATCAGTTGAACTATAACTCATTCAATTTCAATTTCATTAAATAACCATTCGAATTCGAATTAAATTAAAGAAAAGATAACAACAAAAAATTCTCTTGGTAAAAAAAACCCTAAAACCCTAAAAAATTCCTAATGAAAAATTCCTCGTAAAAAAGGTTTAATGGTAATAACAAACAGAATAGAATATCAACCATTAATGATAGATCAACAAATTGACTGGCAATAATCAATCAATGTTTTCAAATCATGCACATATTAACTAAATCATTAATTAATTCTCATTAAATAATTTTTTGATAGTTCCAATTAAATTGTTAGTAATTCCTTTTTAAAATTAATTATTGTTTTTGATTGTGATAACACCGATAAGTGTTGATGCCTTCAACAATTTTTTTTTCAACATTGTTAAATCGTAATAAAACTCCAAAGTTATTGACCAATTTTTCAATGGTTTTATTTTTGTCGTTAATCATTACTTTTTTAACCATTTTTGTACGTCAATATAGAAACAGTAATTACAACACTTTTCAATTTCTATTGATGTTTTTCTATTGTTCAATTTCCATTCCAATTTTAGTACATTTCCAGGAATTACTCATTTGACAATTAATATTTCTTTGATTAGCGCTGGACCAGAAATTTAAGTTCATCCATCTTTTGAACAGTTCCCTCGTTTCTCTTGTGTCTTCTCGAAATCTTGTGCATGCTTCAAAAGAAGAATTAATAATATTTTGTTTTCAAAATTATACGCATTGAACGTCGCCTTCGGACTCCTCGTTTTTCTTTCTTTCTGAAAAGCACAATTTTTTTCGCTTTCAAAACAGTGTTGGTTAAAGTTCGTTTCAGGTAAATTTTCATCACCCATTTTATTTTTTCAATTTGATCTGCTTTCATCACTAAAATCATGTTTGATTATAAATTAGTCAGTATAATCAATATATCAAACGATCACAATTTCTACTCTAAGTGAGACTTCCTCTTCAAATTTGAGAAAATTCATTGAAAAAAAGTCTGAAAAAGAATTGCGGAAAACATTCACCGATTATGCTGAGTTCCTTGTCAGGACAACTTCTGTTTTGCCACTCATATATCACAAATTCATCTCTTCATTAATTCCTATCAATTATCATTTATTTTTATTTCCCTAATCAGTTTTTATTATTAAAAAATCATTTTCAATTCTAATTATTCACCTGTTAACTTTTTGGTTCTTCTTCCCTTCGTTCACTGAGCTAGGCGGGTTCGTTATAATCAACTGAAATGTCTTCGTTTGGTGTTGATGGAGTTCGCTGATTATCTCGTGGATTCCTTTCTCGATCCGTTACTCGTCTTTCCCTAATCAATCTGTTTACTCCGTTGGGCAATCTCCTCCAAAACCATATTTCTTCCTCGAAATCATTATCTGTATCCACTATTTGAGTCTTGCGAATTATTTCTCTCTCCATTCTACGTTCTTTTCTTGAAACTTCCTTCCAGTGACACTTCCTCTCTTCTTTTTGTGAATGTGTTTTAATCATCGTTCATTTTTTTATCAAAATCAATAATTTTTAACATTTTCTATACGTTTTTTGCCGTTTCTATTGACACGTTCGATAGGGAATATTATACAGAAAAATGTTAATAGAAAAAAGAGTCAATAGAATTTCATTTCTCTATAGAATTTTTTCGACTCAAATTTTCTAAGTTTTTTTAGTCATTTTTTATTTTATTATTTTTAAAAAAATCGAATGAAAAAATTTGGAAACTTGGAGCGAAAAAAAATTCTTTAGACAACGAAATTCTATAAACTTTTTCCATAGAGTTTCCTATCGAACACGTCAAAAGAAACGGCAAAAAACGTATAGAAAATCCAATAGAAGTTCTATAGAAATTCGTATAGAATTCTTCAGGGTTTTTCTATTAAAAATTTTCCTACATGCTATTTCAATCAACTGTTATGTCCCTACCTTGGCCACCTGATGGCGCTATACTAAATTTTTAACTTTACTTTATCGACTGTCGAGTCTTACCAGCAATTAGTATATAAGGCCCAATATTCAAATATCATTTTTTCCAATCCAATAAAATAAGAAAATTATTAATTACATTTAAGAAATAACACTCAAGTGTCCAGACCACATTTTTTCTTGAGAAACATCAAAAATACCATTCCCACGTGATAAACGAAACCGAAAAACAGATGGATGCACACGTGCATCATAAACGTTTCAAGAATCATAAAAGTCGAAATAAATATGTAAGATAAGTATTTTTATCCTGAAATTGTAAACCGAACACGGCGAACTCTGAAAATCTGAAAGTCATAAGTGTCAAGTGACATTTTCCAATTCTACCGTTCCGTGAGAACAGAATTTTCTTAAGAGTCAAAACGCAGCTGCACCCTTAATGTCCAAAAATCCAATCATAACTATCGAGGCTCCCCGCTTGACCCAAAAACCAACCGGCTCGCCTCTATCCTCTCCAGCATCCCTAATCAACCAATCCTACCCTCTGAAACTAGAGCGTGAACGCCCACGCGTGACCGCTAAGAAACCCTTAGATATTCAAATCCTTCCTTAGAGAAATCACTTCAATCTACAACTTCAAAGTGGAAAGTAGAAATAACTACCTCTTCCGATCTTATTCAAAACACTAAGTTAAACTTCTAGTTCAAGTCAAGTCCCGGTGAATATTCTAACTCCGAAATCCTATTTCCTAATTCAAGGTGTTCGGGACTCAAATCACAGTGTTATTAAAATAATCGAAGTCAACTGAAATAACCAAAATTGAAGAAATAAAAAAACATTTAAAATATCAAGTGAAACTTAAATCATAAGATTCAAAGACTACAATAGTGAACAGTGTAATAAACCCAAGTGTTATTTGTTATTGAATAAATATTGTTAAATTAAACAATTGTGTCCTAATCGTGTTTGATTGGTCAGCTACGCGCAGTAGTCGATTGGAAAGAACCTACCTAAAGGAATAGCTTCCCTCAACACCTGGAGTTATCGACCAGAAGGGTTAAATCTTTTCTTCTAAATCCAGATCAATTCTTAACTCAGTGAAAATAAAAGAGTAATCCATTTGGGACGTAACAGCTAATCTTTTTATAAATAAATGGTGGCAGCGGTGTTTCTCCAATCGTGACCTTTAGACACAAATTCGAAGAAGACAAATTTCATCAATCTTCAAATAAATCGGTGACAGCAGTGCCTTGCCGATCAAAAGAAAATACAATTCTTTTGAAGTGGAGTCTACTGTACCCTCAACGCCGAACACTCTATCGTGCCCACTTGGACCCAACTTCTAAATCCTGATCGAACTTCATCACCGGATCTACGTGGAGCCCTGTTCAACCACCCGTCGGCAGAGGAAGTGCAACCCAGAGACGATCCAGCCATCCAGCCCTTGATACAACGGTCAACGACCTTACCAGCGCAGTCAACTTCAAACGATGTTTAATTTGTTTATATCAACAATACTGTAAGTCGTTTAATTTACTAATTTTTGTAAAAAGTGAATTTTGTACGCGAGCTCAAAACACACCGACAAAATGCCAGAACAAAATGTTCAATTTCGAATGAACCCCGACGATCTATCGGCTATTACAAATGCACAAACGCGCTCCGCAAAAAATTTCATTAGCACAATTCCGGAATTTAATGGTTCAAATTATCCAGCAAATGAATTTATCTCAGCATGTGAAGATGCAAAAGAATTAACGCCTCAGTATGATCAAAAAACAATTCTCAGATTTCTTAAAAATCGATTAAAAAATCCAATTCTTAATCGCGTTATTATTTCAAAAGTAAAAACTATCGATGAATTACAAGCTTTTGTAAAGAGACATTATTTTCCAAAGAAGTTACCAGACGAATGGTTAGATGAATTTGTATTGTTTTTCCAAAAGCCAAACGAATCAGTTACAGATTATAGTTTTCGAGTAGCAGAACATTTAAGTAATACAATTGATTCAGCTGAAAATTTACCAGAAGACACTAGAGCCACTTATAAAGCTCAAGCAGAAGCTAAAGCAGTCAAATATTTCATTATGGGTCTTAACTCTGATCTCCGTGTCGCCATGAGACACCATACATTTCAAAACATACAACTGGCTGCAGAAAAAGCCGTTGAATATGAATTACTTATCGAACGTGAACAAAAAACTGATAGAAATCGCAATTCAAATACCGGTAATCCGAAAAGTTGTCTCGTTGCTCAAGCTAATGCGAATTCAAATCAAAGAAATGTTCAAACCGGAAAATATTGTTCAAATTGCAAAATGACGAATCATAGTGATAACGAATGTAGAAGAAACAAACAGAGTAATTCAAATTCAAGGCCTATCACAAATTCTTACAATTCAAATTCAAGATTAAACTCAAATTCATTCAATTCAAGACAAAATTCATTCAATTCAAATCGAAATTCATTTAATGCATACCGAAATGTGCCTAGATCAAATCAAAATGCACCAAATTCAAATGGATCATTTAATCGCAATTTTAATTCATACAGCGGAAACAATCGCTCGATAATTTGTAATTATTGCAAAAATCCAGGTCATGTAATCAATGATTGTCGTAAAAGAGCTTACAATATGAATAAACAAGCCGCGTTTAACACCCCAAGTGATGCGAACAGCGCAGGTCAAAACCCACAGCGTGCGGGAAACGGTCATGTTCCCCAGCGTATTGGCGCCGCAGCGGGGAACTCAAACCCAAGTTCGGCGCACCAACCAATAAATTCTCCCCAATAAATAAAAAAGCATCAGGCATGACAAACCTCAACTTCGCTAATTGCAAGCTTAGTATTTTTGACCCGAAATTTTCATCCCCTTCAGTTATTTTAAACTCTGGAAATTTGAATAATAATGAAGCAAAATTTTTACTTGATACGGGATCACAGTTAAATTTGATTAAGATTAATCAATTGAACGATTCGGTTCCAATTAATGAGAATAAAATTTATGAATTAAATGGAGTTTCTAAAACTGATAAGCCCTTAACATTAGGCGAAGTTTTCATTAAATTGAATGGAATAACTGCGAGGTTTAATGTCATCCCCGATGATTTTCCGTTGGATTATGCAGGTGTCATTGGTTTGGAATTTCTTCGTGAAAACGAAGGGGTGGCTGATTTTAAGCGTAATTATTTGCTAGTAGGGAAAACCAAGATACGGTTTGCGGATAGAGAGTCAGTTATGCTTCCAGCTAG